ATGTTGTAGTGTTTTTATTAATGTCGTTGTGTTTTCATTAATGTTGTTGTGCATTCGTTAATGTAGTGTTTTGCGCCTCAGGGCCACCGTAGTATAGGGTCTTGCAGATAATTGTCCAAGCTGGAGCGAAAAACAACTCATTAGGAAAGATGAATTGTATGCAGAAATATGTCTAAGTGGACGAGAGAGACTGTATTGATACAGAATACCTAGGATTAAATAAAAGAGTCAGTCGCCTGTTTAAACACCCTAAAAAAGCTGTGAAATAAGTACCTTCTATCATTTCCTTTTTGAGTAACTCCTCATGTAATCGTGCTATTTTTCTTTCATTTCCTCCCCCCTCGACTTCCTTTCTTTGCTCCTCCTTTCATTCTCTTTGAAGTTCCAAAAAGGTTACTCCAGGAGCAGGGCCCCAGACCACCAGAGTACAACCCACCACCCAGCGCCCATGACCCAAACATAGTAGGAGACGGCCCTCCGGAGGGGAGCTCGGGCAAAAGCCTAGACACGATTCCAGGTGAGCCAAACGACAAACACACAAGTAAATTCATTCTCACACGTTTAGGCCCAAAGTTTCTGCTCATCATTTAGAGCTGTTAACAGCCTAGGGGCCCCCCGGACATGAAAAACAACCATATTTCAGGCCTTAAGTTGAGGCATATATGTATGCATGTATATTGAAAGTCACAAGTTCAACTGTTTCCACATGTGTGCAAGGAGAGCCGTTGGTTTAGGCAGTTTATTATCACTGGGTTTTAAAAACATATTGGTTTCCAAATACCAAAGATTGGACTATTTGGAACCGCAGTCTAAATCAGTCAGTTGTAACGTCAAACTCCCAGAGAGAGCGAAAGAAGGAGAAGACAGAGCTGGAACAACAAAGTGACAGAATGAAAAAAGAGGAGACCCCAGCAAAGAAGAAAAACCCCAAACAAAGCTTCATTCATAAGGAAGGCTGGCCTGCGTCCAGCACACTAATTACTCTGCTCGGCTCCCAGCACTGTAATGATTTGGAGGATGCTGAAATGAATGAGGAGTTAAGAGCGGGAGAGGGCGCGGGGTGTGTGCCGGAGCCCTGACAGCCTCGACTGCATGAGTGGCTTCACTTCCTTGCACCTACTTCAGACTCTCCACTTATCCACTTTCAGCTTGTCTGGAAAAACCGGTTTTACATCCACGACTGTGTGACAGGGGATGAAACATTAAGATATATACAAAGAACTGCATGGCGGGTCTCTACATAACACAGATCATCCTCTACTCCCCTAAAAAAAAAAGTAATAACCTCAGCGTATCTGCATCGACCCTGGCCCCTTTTAATGGAGACAGAGGATACCCTACTCTGGCATTTTCAGCCACTGGGAAGCTTAGAAAGCTTCCCGTTGTGCAACATGTTGTAGCGACAGCAGACACACGACCTTCTGTTCTTTTCATCTCTCGACCCAAAAACTCCAGAAAGTGTCAACGTGCTGAAGAAACTCTATTGTTCTGAATTCTGTGTTTTGGGTTGACACAAAGTGAACACTTTTGTGGCTTTCTTGTATGTGTTCGAGAGGCGGGTTGCGGTTGGTTGCCTGTGTGCTGAGGTCCGTGGGCCCAGGTGGAAACGTTTACCTTCTCAATGAGCAAATTCCCTCTAAACTGCATTTATCAGATAAAGACAGTCTGACACACCTTGCCCTCTGTAATTAGAGGTCACCGGTGTGTGTGACACTTCGCCAAAACAGGCTTACGTTTGCTGACGAAAGCTTCATTCTTAGAGATATGACGATGTAACCACACAGTCAGGGTTACTCAGCCCACCGTTGGCATTTATTTTGACTCTGACGACAGGATGTTTTTTCCAGCCGGGCACCGCTCAGTCAGGCTAAATTCAGAAATGAGTCTTTGTGTACTCAAAACCAGCACGGAAAAAGCCAAAGATTAGCCCAAGATTAAGAACATCCAAATGAGTAAGCATTTGTTCACTTCGTAAAGTGGAATTTCGGGGTACTTTTGAAATGTTGCCAGACTTCTCCATGTGGTTTTCTGTCTCTTAATGACCTGAGTCAGAGTGACAGAGGCGGATGTTGTGTTATCTTCCGAATCGCACAGTACCCCGTATACATCTGTGTTTTAGTGAAGGAATTTTGGAACATTTTAGATGACTCAGTTTTCTTTTTTTTTCTTTTCTTTTCTTTTTTTCTTGACTGATGACTCAGTTTTCTGACTGATGTTACAACAAACTCTTCCTGTTTTACTGTAAATCGCCCCAGTAGTGATTAATTGACTTGAGACACATTCAAAATTCTGTTTGTCTAACCAAATACTTCCCCTCTGCATTTGAAAGCATAATTTTCCTTTAAGACTGGAGTCTGGCTTTTGTCGGTAAACTGCCCTTTCCTGCTTCTGTATCTTTTCATCAGATAAGAAAAAGGTTAGAGAGACAAACCCCAACGAGGAGAAACCTCCGGAACCAGCAACAGAAAGTCCTCCAAAACCACCAGATATGAATCCCATTAGGAACTCCACCTCTAGCGGCAACATGTCCCTCATCAGCAACGTGCTGGCAGCCTACACCTACATTTCAGGTAAGACAGTATTTGTGAAATCTAACGTGTCGTTAAAGAGCTAGGGCTTTGAAAATAGAAGGAAAAAAGGAAGGACAAATTATGCTAGAGGGGCGCAATGTTGCAGTTTTATTGCCAACAGGAAATGATGAAAATATTTGCCTATCTTTAGGAGCAGCTTTTGCTTCTCGGAACCATGAAATTTCTGACTTTTGAGTTTGGGTTATGTAGTTTTGCGCACGTTAAGTGTGTGTGGCATTCTTTTGCTCTGATAAAATATGCTGTTTCCCTTTCTTCCTGGGACTCAAAAGTTGGCTAAAGGTGGTTCAGAGGAATGCAGATGGAAAGTAGAGATAATGGTTCCAAGAAGGGCTTCTCAAAGTCAAAGATGCCTCTTCGGAAAAGTTAAGGATTCAGGATGCTTTGAGAATTCAGTCCGAGATACTCACAAGACATCTTGTACTTTGGCTGAGAGGATATCACCGCTTGCCCAGATTTGAACATTTTATCACATATGTAATGCACTGTAAGATTTTATGATCTTTACATAGTTGGAGCTTTTATGGTGAATGGGAATGTTATACTGCTCGAGAAATCTACCCGCGATCTTTTAAAAACATAATTGTATATTTTGACATATGTAGATTCTTTTGTATTCCAAACATTGTAAATGTCTAATGACACGAAGGGAAAGAGCTGAGTACTGATCCGACTTCTCTGGCTCAATGTAAACAACTAGAGAGAGCCAAACCACTATGGTGATTGTAACGTGGGAATCTTGCTTGAAGACTAGCAGGACCGCTGGAATCTGTGTAAGCTGGGTATGCAAAGACATGAGAAATATTTTCAGTAATAGCAAAGGTGGGATCCAATCTAAAAAAAAGTTGCTTGAAAAAAAGGCTTCAGATACATGGAAAAAATTACCTTCCTCCCATATTTAGAAAAGGAGGGTGACGTTGCATTAAAGATAGAAAGGGTTTTTTTTCCCAAGGTGCAGAATATGGCTACTATGGCTAAATAAATGTGGCATTATTGTTACTTAAGTATACCAAGAAACCAAGTCAGAGCAGCGGAAGTGAATTGTCTCAGCGGCAGCCAGTGTTCATAAGAGTTAATGAGTCATCAAGTGAAATATGGCTTCCAAAAAAAAATCCCCCATAGCCTTTAACCAAAACATCCAGTTTTAAGTTTGACATGCTTTCTGTAAAAAGTCAACTAAATGTGACATTTCCTTCTTTGACTTCCACTCTCTTTCTCCTCTACAACAGACCACCCAGAGAGGGCCGCGCTATTCTTCGTCTGCGGCGTGTGTTTGGGCCTCTTCCTCACTCTCTTCGCCCTGGTGGTCCAGATCTCCTGTCGCACGGACTGCCGGCCCGGCCAGCGGCCTCCCGCCAAGAAACGAGCGCGCCCCGCCGACTCGTCCTCCGACTCCAGCGACTCGGACTCGGACTGGGACACCACCTCGGACCTGTCGGCGCGCAGACACAGACGCTTCGAGCGCACGCTCAACATGAACGTGTTCACGTCGGCCGAGGAGCTAGAGAGGGCTCAGCGACTCGAGGAGAGAGAGCGAATCATCCGTGAGATCTGGATGAATGGGCAGCCGGACATCCCGGGGACGCGGAGCCTCAACCGGTATTACTGAGGACCGCCTAGGGACCGCTTGACTTGAACAAAATTTAAGACACACTTAGGTTGGAGTGGAAAAAGCGACAAGGCATGCATGGAACTTCAAAAGCAGGCAAGCAAGCATGCAAAAGCAACTATGGACTCTGATTAAAATGAGGAAGTTCCCCCTTCTCTGCTGTTATGTGGGTTCCTCTGGGTATCATAAGCTACACCCCCTTCAGCTGAACAATAAGCTCTCACTCTGCATGGCAAGTTTGCCTCTTAGCCGGCTGTAGCTGCTGGGAAGTGAGAGGTTAAAGGCTACGCTGTCTTGCCGGTGACCTCAGCAGGCCTTTTTGAAGTGGGGATTTATGGGTAAGCTTTCTTAGACATACACAGACCTGCAGAGACTCCGCGGTGCCTGAAGGACCAAGGCCTCAGAAGGGTCTGTTTTATACAGCGTACACGGCAGCTGGAAGAGACTGTGACACTCGGAGCTTTACGCTCACTACCCTCCAGTATTCAAGCGTGAACTTTATCAGAAGGGGCATTTGAGGAAAAAAAAAAAAGTGCGTTTGACAATGGGACAGTGTAAGACAATCTTTCCGGAGTGAACAACCACGTTGCCTTTTGAGCTTTTCAAAACCAAAAGATTTGTGTGTGTGCGCGCGTGTGTGTGAGTGGGGGCTGGGGTTGGGGGGTGGGGGGGGACCTTTCCAGACTTTCATGAAATATATTTTATATTATTTAATAGTTTTATTGATTTTGTGTATGTTTTATTTCTCTAGTCTGGTTTATTATGAGATATTTTTATACTGGCGAAGGTTATTTGGCACCTCAGGGATGCAATCCTAGTGTTTCTGTGTTTGGCTGATGTGCTCTCTTCTTAAGAAGGGGATCGGCCTGTTTAAATAGCTCTGACAGCATTTAAATAAAAGAAATAGAAATGCGATATCACAAGCCTCAAAGAGGTTTTTAGTGGTTTAACCTTATTTTTGATACTATGATTCACAGTGCAGTGCCTTCTTTAGCTATATAGTGATTGTTGTCATGATTACAAAAGGTGCCTCAGTAACTGGACAGTTTATTGATTGGAAACCCTAAAAAAAAAACATTTTTTTGTGGCTATGCTGAGGTGGAGCTTGTGTAAAATCTGAATGTTTCTGTGGAATATTGCACTTGCCATCTACACTGATATATATATGTAAATGACCAGAATAAGCCAATTTTGTTCTATGCTTTTAAGAGAAGGAATTCTCACTCATCGCATACTGAATTAACTTCTGTCCTGGTGCCTTTGTTTTAAAGCTGTCAGTGCTAAACAGATGGCTGTGGTCATTACAGTTCACTCCCATCTGAAGAAGGAACCAGCACTGCAGAAAAAGTACATTGTTTAATTGTAAACTGCTCCTCTGTAATGTTACCAGTTCAATAATATAAGCTACTGTCCGTTATTTGTTTTGCTTGCCTGGAAATAATGACAGAATTATAGTTATATGAGATTTGCAGTTCTTTGACAGAAAGAAACTAAAGACTACACAGGAAAAAAATAGGACCATCCCAATTAACCCTACCACTGTACTCTTTTTTTCTTTAAAGTGGATTGAATAAAATGTGCCAATCATTGGTAAAGCGAGACCAAAATATGAATTCCTGCGCTTGTAATAAACTATGGTGAAAATTATTCACATGTCCTCTAAAATAATTTCCATGGTCAATTGCAAAGGTCTGAATCTAAATAATTAAAGAGTATTCTGACAACGAAAATAAAGTGTACAACATTTTAGAAAACGCAAATATGAAACATGAGTCGCTTCTCGCCCTCTGGTGGTGAGATTAACACACTACAGTTTACCCAAACGTGGAAAATATTATAGAAACTATTACATTGCACTGTTGTGCAGTCTGTTATATAACTACACCGACTGATTGTAGTTCTCACTCTAAAGGTGACCTATATAATAAATTAGACAGTATGAAAATATTTTAATTTTTTTACATTAATCTGTTAAATTTAAATAACTTTTTTTAACCTTCTCTGATTGCTGGTATGAATTACTGATACATTTTACCCGGTTTTGGGAGAGGGAAAAGCTCTTCTTTAAATGTTATCTAGAAATTGTTGTGCTGCAGTAGTTTCCATGGATACCACAAACTAACGACGGTGGGGCTGTTTCGTCGCGTTGCACTCCAACAAAGATATTTATTTCCCCTCTTTTAGCAAGTTTGCAGTCAACTTTATACAGATAAACGCAAACAAAGAGGAAATGTCTTGCAAGTGGAACGGCCACGGTTTACCATTTTTCCCGGGATATACATTTCGTGATGTGACGGTAAGAAAGTAGCCATAGCTAGATTGTAAATATGAAAGCAGCATTATTCAAATGTTGAAAACATAATGTTTATACAATCTATCCATCTGTGATCATATTATCTATCTATCTATCTATCTATCTATCTATCTATCTATCTATCTATCTATCTATCTATCTATCTATCTATCTATCTATCTAT